GACACTGATGTTGTTCAGATGTGCCTGCTTAAGAATGTCACATGTATTTGTAATCGCATATTCATGAATGATTGCTTGCTGACAATAAAAAGGGCTGCAGCGAAGGAATCAGTTGGAGTTGCTTAGACAGGCGAGTCGCAGCACTGCTCTCCAATGCTCCCTTTGCAAGTGAAAAGTACACTAGTGTCTGTGTGGTTGCTTTCAGTAACAGGTTCTGTTTACCAGCAGGGTTGACCTAAACCCTGTTTTGCCCATTTGGGGTTCTGTGTCTGTTGCCATCTCTTTTTTTTTTTTTTTTTTAAAAGTCTGTTGCCATCTCTTTTAACGTGTGTTATATATTTTGATTTGTTTTTAACAGGTTCCCACAGCGCTTATCCTGTCTCACGGGCAATCATACAATTTTTTATCATTTTTACCGCATTTAATAAAGTAACGTTTTTATTTGTTTGCAGGTGCCGCTGTTACATGTTTACTTTTATTTTTGTATTAACATTAAAACCATTTTAACTGACTGTGTGCCTACAGCTCTGTCCTGTTGTAATAGGTACCTACCACAGGTCACATTAAGTCCAAAAACAAGTTTATTGCTGAGCTCTCCCAAAAACAGAAGATACAAGAAAATTGGAATAGGTTTAAACCGGGAACTACTTACCTCAGGAAACACAGACAATCTGAGCACACGGCTACATGGATGGATACAACAAAGGGGGGAGACACAGACAATTGCTTTGTCCGAATTCAGGGGAAGGATGCTCTGAAGGACACTACCTACCTACGTAGGCTGATGGTGAATCTGAAGAGTTTGCTGCTTGAGTCTCTGCGGAGGTCGCAGTTTCTGTGGTGCCTGCGGCTTGGTCCTGAGGAAATATAAACAACCAAACTGTTAATTGTATTTGTTTAAATAATATTTATAAATCAAGCAGTAGCAAAATAAAATTTCAAAAATGAAAAAAAAAAAAAAAACACCTACTTGTTCAATGCTCAGGACAAGTTCTGTGGTGAGTGCTCCATAGACTCTCAGCTGAGTGACATCATCCAAGTGTCGCAGGGACTTGAATCGAGGATCTAAAGCTGTGCACTTGTGTAGGTAATTCTGAAGGGCAGGATTAGCGTATCTCTGCTCCAGGTCCTACCTGATGTTTTTTTTTTACATCTCTCACTGCTGGGCTGTCATCATCAGACTGCGCCATAGAGTTCAGGATGTTCATTTTAAGTGGCAAATTCAAATTCAAATCAAATTCAAATTTTATTTGTCACGTACACAGTCATACACAGTACGATATGTAGTGAAATGCTTGGACAACTGCTCGTGACCTAAAGAAAACAAAAAAAGGAAAAGGCTATGAATAAGATAGGAAATAAATATGAAAAATTAAAA